AGATACAAACACAAAACACATATTCATTTGTTTTCTGTCTTATCATAATTCCTCACTATCCTCAAAACAAATAAAGAATTAAAAAAGATAGTCAACTCCTTACCCCCCCCCCAAAAAAAAAAATAATAATCCAGTGACAATCGAATTTTCCCAAAACTTCCAAGTCACCTGTCATGGAAATAATTCTGTCATGTCACCGATGAAGAAGATTCCCCCAAATGACAGTCTTTATCTTTCAAAATTCTCTATGAATCTTTACGGAAATACGAAGAAGAATTATTCGAGTACCATTAAAAGATAATAATAAATGAATAATAATAATGACGGTGATAATAACACTAATAATGATGATGATAATAATCTTAATAGTGATGGTAATGATAATAAAGATAGTGATGATAATATAATAATAGTAGTGACGAAAATAATGATAATAATAGTGAAATAACTACAAAAACTATGATAATGGCAATAATAACAATGATAATGATAATAACAATATAACAATAATAATAAGAGCGATAATAGTGATAATAACAGAAGAATAACAATAATAACAATGAAAATAATATAATTATAATACTAATAAATAACAATAATAACAATAATAATAAAGAAATAATAATAATAAAAGGGAAAAAATAAAATGTATTTATCCCAACCACACCGAGCAAACCAGCTTGGCAAGCGGGCGAGCGAGAAAACGAGTTTGCACGCAGTAAAGCAAGCCAAGTTGACAAGCGGATGTCGGTAGAGCAAGCCACAAGCAAACAAGCTATGCCACACGTTAAAAAAAAAATCAACCACACAGTCACTTCAAGCAAGCAAACCCACGTAACCACACAACCCTTCACAACCAGACAGCTACAACCCAAACAACCACACCACAACCAGCCCTTCATAACCACGCAACCACACAACACTTCGCAACCACCCAACCACAACCAACCTTCACAACCACACAACCCTTTGCAACCACCCAACCTCACAACCACCCACCTCACAACCCTTCGCAACCACCCAACCTCACAACCACCCAACCTCACAACCACCCAACCTCACAACCCTTCGCAACCACCCAACCTCACAACCACTCAACCTCACAACCCTTCGCAACCACCCAACCTCACAAACCAGACAACCCAACCTCACAACCACACAACCCTTCACAACCTCACAACTCTTCGCAACCACCCAACCTCACAACCACACAACCAACCACCCAACCTCACAACCCTTCGCAACCACCCAACCTCACATCCTCACAACCCTTCGCAACCACCCAACCTCACAACCACACAACCCTTCGCAACCACCCAAGCCTCACAACCACACAACCCTTCGCAAACACCAACTTCGCAACCACCCAACCTCACAACCACACAACCTTCGCAACCACCCAACCTCACAACACACAACCTCACAACCCTTCGCAACCACCCAACTCACAACCAGCAACTACCCAACCACCCACCTCACAACCACCCAACCTCACAACCCACAACCAACCACCCACCCTCACAAACCCTTCGCAACCACCCAACCTCACACACACGCAACCATCCAGCCTCACAACCACAAAACCAGACAACCACACAACCCTTCGCAACCACCCACCCTCACAACCCTTCGCAACCACAATCACACAATCACACAAGGAACCCCGGGACAGCACATAAAATCTTGCTCAATCTGCCGTCAGCAACCACCGTGACGGACCTTGAACCTGGCACCTGAGGGACGCCGCGCCTATATAAGGCTCGAACGGCGCCGTCGCAGCTCACTCATCTCCTAGACACGGTAGGTGGAGGGTCGGGTGGAGGGAACGTCTCGTGGGGCGGAGAGGGGCGGGAGGAGGGCTTTTGGGTGGGTTTGGGGCGGAGGAGGGGCTTGTGGGTGGGTTTGTGGGCGGCAGGAGGGGCTTTTGGGTGGTTTGTGGGCGGGAGGAGGGGCTTTTTGGGTGGGTTTGTGGGCAATCTATCTGTAGTATAAACATGGTAATCTACAGTAATATACCCGCAGTGTAAACAATCTACTGTAATGTATTACAAGTATCACATATTCTACTATAGTGTCCTAGTAATGTAAACATGGGAATCTACTGAGATCTACCATTTGTATAAACTTCAAATTCTATAGTAATCTACCAGTGGTATCATACATGGAATTTACAATAATCTACTACTAGTTTATACATGGGAATCTACTGTGATCTACTAATAGTGTAAACATACCTCTGTGAAACCAAAACTATTCACATGAGAATCTACTCTACCACTATACATGGAAATCTGTTGTAATCTACCAACAACACAAACATGAAA